ATATATATATATATATTTGCTTGCACATGATTGGGAGATGGAAGTCAGCAGAGCTTCACCTCATTTACTAAGCTAAGGGGAAACTTCCCCTGCAAAGTACAAATTCCCTTGCAAAGTCAACAGCCTATTTGCCTTTAGTAAATCCATCACAGTCTGTCCTCATTCCTAGTAGAGTGATAGCTGTCTCCGTATTGTACCCCATGCATTGTTACCCTATCACATGCACCTCTGGTGGAGTCTAAAGATGGCTCTGCTAACACACATTGCTCAGGCTTGGTCCACTGCTTTCACTATCAGTAAGCTGGTCCAGAGCAATGATGTGCAGCCAATGCTGGGAAGGGAGTGGATGTAGACTGTAGCTTGAATCTCACTTAGTGCTCACTTCTAAGTTTTGAAAAGCCACAGGCATTTTTCAAGCTGCTTTAACCATGCTCCTGCATTGTAATACCCAAGTGGTGTCACATAGTCAGCAGGTTATCACTTTTTGTTTGAGCCGCACAGTGACATGCAGAATACTTCTCCCGTTTCTTTTGTCGCCATTTGAACTGAAAGTGAAGGAAATGCTAAATGTCAGAAACCAGCTGAATATTATGAAGTAGTTGTAGCCTTGGCCGGTGGCCCTTTTAAGCAACCCAGCAGGATGTTGCACCCTTTCTGTAGCTCATTTTCCCCTCCCTGTCAGCAATTAACAGAGCACAGGGAGGGTGCACTATAGAATGAATCTAACTAACTCACATGACTGCAAGGGTGAAGCTTTACAAAGAGACGTCATCATTCCAATGTGCCTTAGGGCTGCATGATGTCTAAAAACTGCCTTGCTCAGTATATAGCAGGGGTAGGCAAGCTCTGGCATCATGCATCTGCCTCTGATGGTCATGCCTGTGGCTATCAGAGTCTTGCAATTCCTAATGGGATTTGTAGTTGCTCCACATATGGAGGGCTGAAGTTTGCATATTCTGGTATATAGGAAGCTTTGCTGTGTGTATATGTGTATAAAATGGATATAGTGCGTATAAGGACGTTAGATTGTAAGGCTGGGTTCACACCTAGGTGTATTGAATATGCGCGTTTTTTGCGCGTTTCGCGTTGCACGTTTTTACCGCGATTCGCGGTAAAAAAACGCGCGACATACGCGCGTTTCCGAGGCCTACTTGGCTCTATCCCAATGGAAACGCCCCAAAGAAGTACATGTACTTCTTTGGGCGTAGGGCGGTTTCCCGCGCGTTCGTACTCGCGGAAAAACGCCCAGATGGGAACCATGCACATTGAAAATAATGGCATTTCCCTGTTTGAGCGTTTTTCCGCGAGTACGAACGCACGGAAAAACGCCCAGGTGGGAACCGGGCCTTAGTCTAGTCAATTTTGTTTAGTCAAACTAGTCAATTGTCTAGCTTATAACGATTGGTACTCTTCACTGTTAATCACGGCGTCATTTTTCTATGATTTGAATAGAGTAAATACGAGCAGAGGACCCAAAGACCACAATTTTTTTTTTCCTAGAATAAAAATAATTTAAAAAAAATTACAAAATCAAAAGCATGGCACTAAAATAATGAAAAATTCACAGTGCATCGTCATCCTATCCCTTCCTCATGGTTCGCGTGTTTAATTACCGACAATTCCTGCTCGTGAAAAGTACATAGAGACAGTTATTTCTGGGCTGCAGGTCGGTTACTTGGAAAGTCTGCAGAGCCTTAGGGCCTATAAACTGAGACTGTGAGCCTGGCCTAGACTGCCACTGCTGGAACACAGGAGCTGGAAGGCCAACAATGAGCGCAGTGTATGGAATTAATGTAGCTCTGGGCAGGGTGTAGGATGTGTGTGACTTGAGTGTTCTGCTCTTCCTGCATCCATTTCCTCTGCCCTGTCTGCTTAGTGCACTTCTGTTTTTACATGTATACCCTCAAATATGAAAGCGTCTCAGAGCCGATACTTCCAGAAATCTTTGTATTGCTAATAGACGGGATCTCAGATGCATGTAACAGCCTAACGTGTAAAGCTGACCATACACCTATAGATTATCTGCAGATTTTCTATGGTCAGATGGAAAAAGTGCAACAGATTCCTCCACCTACGCTAAACTGTGTGGATGGAGGAATCTCCCGCTGTGCCAAGCTTCAGTATCTTGCTAGTCGGCCCCGCTGGCTGTCAAAACACATGAACAATGCTGGCATCCGATCAGATTGTTCAGGTATTTGACAGCCATCAGGGCCGACTAGCAAAATACTGAAGCTTGGCACAGCGGGAGATTCCTATATCCACACAGTGTAGCGTAGATGGAGGAATCTGTTGCACTTTTTCCATCTGACCATAGAGAATCTGCAGATAATCTATAGGTGTATGGTCAGCTTAACAGAGATAGCTACAGGAACCATTCCTTGTTCTCCAACAGATTGATACCAAACCTCCATTATATATGATCATAAAAAGGTGATAACTGAACGATATAAAACCTTAACCACAACAATAATAAAGAGATGAAAACTGGACAATAGAAAACCTTTTCAATAATAAATGGATGAAAACTGGACAACAGAATGCAGATCATCATCTTTTTCAGATGTTCTTTCTTGTTATATCTTTTGCTTTTTAGGTGTTTTTTTTATGTCAAACCACAAAACATATCTACCTGGTTTGTACTACTTAAATCTCAACTTCAGGCTTGGGTCCTCCCCACCCCGCTGGACCCTTACTCCCTTGAAGCACCACTGTCTTTTTAAAGAAAAAAAATCTATATACACTAAAATCCCATGTCAACCTCTGTATGACCTTTGGGAAAACGGCCTCTATCTTCACTGATAGGCTGCCTATATTCTAGAGAATTTGGGGACCCTGGATCACACACTACCTCCCAGCTGATTTAATTTTGAACACTCTCTTCAAATTACATTTTTGTATTTTTGACCTGAAAGGCCACGACCCAACCACAGAAGAGGTAAACCAAACCACCTAACAATTTATTTGAGGAGATCTTTGTGCTGAGTTCCGAAGTCTGTACACCTATTGTGGCCATTATACGAAGTTCCCACTCCTATTGTACTATGGAGAATGTAACAAGGGGGGACAAGAACACCCAAAACTTCCAAGTGGAAAGGAAAAAAATGGTAATTATGTGAGATCTCATTTTTGTTGTTGACTTAGCTCACCAGGCTCCCCCTATAGCCAAATATCACTTTTGAGTGACGTGGCCATTTAATATTCCCATAGATAGGTATATAACAAAAACATCAGGACCTTTCTTACTCAACTGTTTTACACCAAGGGTAAAGAACTCACCTGTTCTATGAATGTGATCAGAGCCTCGCGATTGCCATCCCACTCCCGCGGCAACTCCGACTCACTGGGGAACTTGTTGCAGCTCAGCTCCAGCGTTATTTCAAAACAGTTTTTGTAAAGGTAATTGAAGTCCTGCATACCTGGGAGAATAAATGGTGTTATACTTCAATGTGGAGTTGAAACAGATTTATGTGAACTGTTTTACCTACAAAAAGATTTTATTCAGCCAGTGCTGTGATCCAGGCACCCCTGCCAGAGAGCATGGTCAGGTCTGTGTACTGTATTTTTCCGTGTATAAGATGCTACTTTTTCTTCAAAATATTTACCTAAAAATGGAAGGGCGTCTTATACAAGGAGAACCGCGGTTGCGAAACTGCCGATACCTCTGCAAACTAGCCTCACGAGTGAAACTTCGGATTGCAGAGACAAGATAACTGTTTTCCTCCAATCATAAACCTTATGTACCTGACGTCAGCTGTTGCTGGGGAGAGCGTGTAGCCAGTGCCCAGATGTGACAGGGAGCGGTAATGTCGGCTCATTCTGTGCCCATAAAAATGACAGTGATTCAGCAGACAGCAGTGATGCAGCAGAAGTTAAAGAATCTGATATGTTTGAAGCAAAAAGTGATGAAGAAGAGACCAGTGATGCAACAGAGACTGAATAAAGTGATTTGCTCAGAGGTAAGTGTGATGCATAACATCATAGTACTGGTATGTAAACTTTGCCTAATCACTAAATAAAAATGTCTTCTATTTAATGTTTTAAATATTGATTTCTGAATTTTGGGTAAGAAAAGTGGGGGGCGTCCTATACATGGGGGCATCTTATAGATGGAAAAATACAGTACTCACTTTTCTCTAATACATTTAAGTAATATAGCCTACTCTCCATCATATCCCCTTCCTCCTGATTGGATGATGAGGGTGAAACAACTACACTGATGAAGTACCCCGTCTCTCTATCCACCTGTCAGCAAGATCCCAGCGTTTTAAGGGGCAGCATTGTGCAATGCAGTAGTGCCTGCATGATTAACAGTTCAGGCCCTTCTTCTCCCACTATGAGATGCTAACATAAAGACATATTCAGAAACTAGATTTAGGTATACATTAAATGCATTCAAAGTAGAACTAAAGTCAAGCTATGGGCATTGAAATATTTGCATATTGTTAACAAGCAGTAAATCAACTTTACAACCCCTCACTAACCTCTGTTGCTGTAGACACTGTGAGGGCAATTCATCTTCAAAGTGTGCAGCAGAAGCTTCTCAGTTTTGCTTTCAACTTTACTCTGTAGCTGAGCTACCCACCTCAACAGAAATTTGGCAGTCTGCCAGCCTTCTAATCTCCAATGTCAAAACAGAGCAGGTGCCCAGAAAGAGGGGGAGAGAACCGAGGGGTGAGACTGAACTTCAGTGCTTCTGTTGTGCACTTTGAAGATTAATTGCTCCAGAGTGCTGCAGCTACAGAGGTTAGGAAGGGTATAGTTTCAACAGTTTTTTTAAATACTGTTTGCACTTTCTTACCACTAGATGGAGCGGAGGAGCATACAAAATGTGTATGCTCCTTGGCTCCATCTAGTGGTGAGAATGTTGTGTGAATGGCATTTGCCCTGCATATGGCTGGGAGGATGATTTATAAATCATCCCCATTAAAGATTTATCTTTGATATCCTTACTAAGATAGTAAAATCTGATTGTACAATGTCCTTTAGATCTACCAATAAGTATGTAGTGCAAGAATCTGCCTGATTGGAGATGCTGTGATTGGAAAGATTAGGTAGGCCCTAATATTACCTAGTTTTTGTAGATGTAAAGTTGATTGTACAAAGATTGTACGGTTAGATTGGAACGTGGATGGTGAGCCGTGCATTATTCTGCAGCAAAGACATTGGTGACAGTAAATAATCCACATGTCAATATGAAAATGCTCCATAGGAGTTGAAAGCGTAATTCTCTCTACAATTGCTCACTATTCTACCCCGCACTATTTTGACATATAAGGCCAATTGCTAACAGCTTAATATACAAACATGTGCTCAGTGATTCAAACATAAACGGCCCGTTAATGAAACAAAGATGTCGATTGTAGTGTGTCTAACGGCATAATTAATGAAGTGGAATGTTGTGTGTTATGTTCTCAGTGGTGTCACCAGCCCAAGAATGTAAAATGTCTGCAGCCAGTTACTCCCAGAAATAATCTCATTAACTATTTTAGGCATTTTGGTTGGTTTAGCCTTCCATGACCTCAAACAATCCCCCCTGGCTTGGATATGCTGAATTATTACAGGAAAGCAAACATAACTTACAACTATATATTTAGAAACGTTCGCAAAAACTGAAATTGTTTCCGATAAACTGTATTTCAGTTCTTGACGTTCTGTTTATGGTACAGAGAAGATGTTATAAACAGCTGAGGATTAGCACATTCTACCTTGCTGAAGATGGTGATGTCCTGTATTATTATATATGTGTGAGTTGTACTCTATGTTGAACACATTCCAGGCTACTAGAGGTTACACATCTAGGGGAGAGCACATTCTACACTAATAGAGGTGATCAGATTATACACTACTAGAGGTGATCAGATTCTACACTACAAGAGGTGATCAGATTCTACAGTAAAAGAGGTTAGCACATTCTACATTACTAGAGGTGATCAGATTCTACACTACAAGAGGTTAGCACATTCTCCATTACTAGAGGTGATCAGATTCTACACTACAAGAGGTTAGCACATTCTACACTACTAGAGGAGAGCACATTCTACACTACTAGAGGTGATCAGATTCTACACTACTAGAGGTGATCAGATTCTACAGTACTAAAGGAGATCAGATACTACACTACAAGAGGTTAGCACATTCTACACTACTAGAGGAGATCAGATTCTACGGCACTAGAGGAGATCAGATTCTACACTACAAGAGGTTAGCACATTCTACACTACTAGAGGAGATCAGATTCTACGGCACTAGAGGAGATCAGATTCTACACTACAAGAGGTTAGCACATTCTACACTACTAGAGGAGATCAGATTCTACGGCACTAGAGGAGATCAGATTCTACACTACAAGAGGTTAGCACATTCTACACTACTAGAGGAGAGCACATTCTACACTACTAGAGGAGAGCACATTCTACACTACTAGAGGAGAGCACATTCTACACTACTAGAGCAGATCAGATTCTACACTACTAGAGGTGAGCACATTGTACACTACTAGAGGTGAGCACATTGTACACTACTAGAGGTGAGCACATTGTACACTACTAGAGGTGAGCACATTGTACACTACTAGAGGTGAGCACATTGTACACTACTAGAGGTGAGCACATTGTACACTACTAGAGGTGAGCACATTGTACACTACTAGAGGTGAGCACATTGTACACTACTAGAGGTGAGCACATTGTACACTACTAGAGGTGAGCACATTGTACACTACTAGAGGTGAGCACATTGTACACTACTAGAGGTGAGCACATTGTACACTACTAGAGGTGAGCACATTGTACACTACTAGAGGTGAGCACATTGTACACTACTAGAGGTGAGCAGATTCTACACTACTAGAGGTGATCAGATTCGACACTACTACAGGTGATCAGATTCTACACTACTAGAGGGGAGCAGATTCTACACTACCAGAGGGGAGCAGATTCTACACTACTAGAGGTGAGCAGATTCTACACTACTAGAGGTGATCAGATTCGACACTACTACAGGTGATCAGATTCTACACTACTAGAGGGGAGCAGATTCTACACTACCAGAGGGGAGCAGATTCTACACTACAAGAGGGGAGCAGATTCTACACTACTAGAGGTGATCAGATTCGACACTACTACAGGTGATCAGATTCTACACTACTAGAGGGGAGCAGATTCTACACTACCAGAGGGGAGCAGATTCTACACTACTAGAGGGGAGCAGATTCTACATTACTAGAGGTGAGCACATTGTACACTACTAGAGGTGAGCACATTGTACACTACTAGAGGTGAGCACATTGTACACTACTAGAGGTGAGCACATTGTACACTACTAGAGGTGAGCACATTGTACACTACTAGAGGTGAGCACATTGTACACTACTAGAGGTGAGCACATTGTACACTACTAGAGGTGAGCACATTGTACACTACTAGAGGTGAGCACATTGTACACTACTAGAGGTGAGCACATTGTACACTACTAGAGGTGAGCACATTGTACACTACTAGAGGCGACCACATTCTACACTACTAGAGGTGATCACATTCTACACTACTACAGGTGACTAGATTCTCCACTACTAGTTGTGAGCACATTCTACATTACTAGAGGTCAGCACATTCTACCCAACTAGAGATGAGTCTATGCTGCTAGAGGTGAGCACATGCTACACTGCAAGAGTAAAACACATTTTAGAGGTGATTACTTTCTACACAACTAGAGGCGAGCACATTATGCACTACTAGAGGTGAGCACATTATACACTACACGAGGTGGGCTCAATCTATACTGCTAGAGGTGAGCACATTCTACCTTACCAGAGGGGAGTAAATACTACACTGCCAGTGGTGAGCACATTCTACTACTAAAAGTAAGTACTAAAATTAAGCACATTCTATACTACTAAAGGTAAGCTCACTCTATACTACTGAAGGTAAGCACATTCTACACTACTAGAGATGAGCACATTTTAGGCCACTAGCTGTGAGCTTAATCTACACTACTATAGGTTAACCCCTTTTACATTACAAGAGGTGAGCACAGTCCAGGCTATTTGAGGTAAACACCGTCTACACTACTAGGCAGGTGAGGGCATTCTACACCACTAGTCTAGTCTTCTGCTTATCTTGCTCAATGTGTTTTTCTTACCTTTTTATTATTACAGTATATATAAATTACAGCAATCAGGCTAAATAAGTAATTTTGTTTTTATTTTTTGCTATAGCCCTCCTCTCCAAGTAAGCCAGAATACTGGATGTTCCCTGCAAAACTGCCAGGCCGAGAACAGGGCTTCCACTTAAGAGGAAATGCCATAATGTAACCAGAGATTCCTATAATTAAAATAAAACATATAACTACTCATTACCTTTTGATAGGGAATACCAAGACGCTCCATTAGTGATGCCATACTGAAAGTAATCTCCACAATTAAACTCTCTATGCATCCATCCATGAGCATAGGAATAAGACATTGCAAGCTGCAAAGACAAAAAAACAGGCATCAACCAGTAATATTAATGTTACAAAGTGAACATATTGTAGATCATTTTTCATGACGAGAGTATGTAATACATAAGTAAATACACAAACAGAAGGGCCAAGACTCAATATCAGCTGAATGTTAAAGAGTTGTCACTTTAACAGAACTAACAGCACATATTGTCAGGAAGAGTCAACTACTATTAGAGGTCAACTGAAAAACAGTATTACAAGGTCATTGGCTTTACAAGTAGCAAATATTACTCAGGATAGTCAACCAACAGTCAACATAGGTCAGCCATGCTACGTGAGAAGTCCAAGAAAGACAACCACCACACAACATGTGTCTGAGAAGGGCAACCGTTACACAACATTTTTTAAAGAAAGGTACAACCCTGTGTAACATTTATATTGGGACCCAGAAGGTCAACCACTACGCACAAATTGTACTTCACACACCATGTTTGTATGTTCAAAAGGTCTACCAATATACAAGATGTATCCAAAATCATTCTAAAAAAAGTGTTTGAAAAAGTCCATCACTGCATTACAGTTGTCAAAGAAAGCTATATAGCTTAACAAAGTATGTCCAAGTTGATCAGCCGCTACAAAACCTTGTAGGATAACTATTATACAGCTTGTATGCTATAAGGTCCACCATCACAGAGCCCCCTGACAAAACAAAGATTAAAATAGGATAAACAGTTATAAATCCACCTATACTCATATTAATTATCCTTAGTAATAATGTTATGTATTTATGTATATAAATCAAGCCAAAACGTTTTTTTTTGTTGCTTTCCATAGAGTATAAGACATTTAGAACCCTTTTGCTTTCTGTTTTGACTGCCGGTAGGATTCCCACCTTTCTATATGTCCTGCTGACCATTTTGGACAGAAAGATATGGGAAATCAAACATTTTATGGTTGTCACCAGAAAAAGAAATCAGGGTACATTTTCCAATAAGGACAGGTCATCTGTTCAGGTGCTAACTGTCTACTGTTACAGGAGATTTTGACTTATCTGTTGTATCCAACTCGGTCATCCAACCTAGGCCATAACTTTAGCCGGCCATACACAAATAACTGTATGGACAATGCCAGGATTCCTTGCATCTGTTGCAATAGCTATATGTAAGAGTCGAGTGCCATCTGCACATGCGCCAACGGCACATAGCCTCACAAAACCGGAACAATTTTGTGCCAACTGCACATGCTCCAATGGCGCGTCTTTGCGCCAACCCGCGCATGCGCAGACAACACAATTCAACAAGGCGGGAAAACGCCAAGGAGGTGCACAGGAAGTGATCTAGACCTCAATTATCACTTCCCCTATATAAGTCCAGCCTGGACACTGCCAAATTGCTGGATTATGTTTAGTCTCTCCTTGTTCCTGTGCTGTGTGTTATCTGTTTGGACTTGTTGTGACCCGGAACCCTAGTGACTACTCTTGCCTGCTTCCTGCCCTTGACTTTGGATTCGTATACTGACCATTCTTCTGCTTTGCCCTTTTGTATTTCGTTGCCAGATTGGACTTGACCCCGGCTCGGACTTTGGATTTAGGCTTGCACGGTGATCTACACCACCGGCACTCGTGCCACTCGGTGTCCGCCAGGTCTCCGCCAAGACCTGAGGTGCAAGGGAGGCCTCCTCACTACTACAGTCTCACCTCAGGTACGTGACACTATACTTCAATAGTCTGGAACATGGTGTTATATAAAGAAGACAGTCAGCTGGGTTGAAAATGTCTTGCCAGTTTCCCAGTGTTCCTCCTGCGCACTGTTTCTGTGCAGAGGGGTGTCTACCACTGTGGTGGCCATGCTGTTTGTGAGTAAATGAACATTGATCAATGGTCAGCGCTAAAGCAGAATAATATATTACTTACGGCTTTAAACAGTTTATCGTCTGGGGTAGCAGCATAGCTAGCAAATGCACGGTAACCTTTGACCCGAAGATCTTTAATTTTATCAAATGGGTAATTAGCTACAACTGCTCCACCATGGAGGTTTGCCGAGAGGACAAAGTTGTGACTTTCAATCCAGTTAATTATGGCGAGTGTTTCTGGCTCCACCTGTAATAGTTCAGATTGAATTGTTTTTTAACATCAAAAATACCAGCACAAGATAATTACTAATGTAATGCATATTCCCCTAATTTCATATCATTAAATAGTAACAGGTCAGTTTTCCCAAATTGTATATGCTACTTTTTTGTAGATGCTAAAACATTTAAGTGTATCTCAAGTTGAAACATGTTTTTCATTTTGGATAAAGAAGGTTTTGGATAAAGAAGGGTTTAAAGCCCTGCCAGGTTCTTTTTGCCATCTATGCCGCCTTTCTTACACAACAGGAAGTAAGAGGAAATGTATCCACAGTAAGGGATATCCCCCTCTTAGACAGTTTTCATCAGAACAAGTGTCTCCATGGAATAATGCTCCTTTATTACTGTTCTGGTGACAACTGGATTTCCCTTCACTTTTATTCCTGGTGACCATGATCCCCAGGACAAAGTGAAACTAAATCTTCCTGTTGGGGACACAGAAGGTAATAAAAAAATCTGACAGAGGTTCCAGCCCCTAATTACCATATCCTAAACTAAAAAAAAAGTTTTGGCTCTAGATATCTTAAACCACCTAATGGTTTCTAATGTTGCTTGAGAACTCCCATGGCAAGGTGAGGTCCACACAACTCCCGAGGTCATCAAGGGGGTCCCACTCCTCCTGTGGAATTTTGACTAGTGTATATTAGAAGCATGTAAGAGAATTAAAAGAAAAAGCCAAAAGTGGAGTATGAACACCAAGCTGGTCAGAAACAGAATCAATAACTATGGCAGGAAGATCTACCAGAGTCCTCAAGAAATACAAGAGGCAAGGGGTAACTTATTCAGCTAAGTTCCATCTATAACTGCTTCATATGTTGTGAAGAAGCCAGCAATGAATCCCGTATCTATTGGTTCTGTAGACTGGTTTCTGCTCTCTGGACTAGGATTTCCAGACCTCTCCCCGCATTTCTCATCAAAACCATGCAAAGAAACTCTGAAGTTCTATCGTTAGATGACAAGCCTCCAGGGATACAAATTGAAGTGTGGCCCAATTATCCTTGGCAGAGAAGAATTAGTTCCCGACCTCCAAATACACCGTGGTGCCATTCCATTGTGCAGAGAATTAAAAAAAATTGACCTTGTTGACTAGAGAAGAGCATAGAGATGATCTCATTAGGGAGAAGCTGTTCCTTCACTATCCAATCACAGCCCTTGAACAAGCTGAATTGCTTTGACTATAATGGAGAACAGTAAATAATCAGGACCTGGATTCTAAATTAGAAATCTGGCTGAACCGAATGACTCATATTCTGGCAGGTAAGTCACTTCTCTATTTAGCTGTCCCTTGACACTTACACTTGAAGATTCTGATCTTTTTTAATTCATATGTAGGTTTTAGGTGAGACTTTTGTACTGGTTGGCTGATAGGTTGAGATAGACTCTGCTCATTGTTAGCTGTAATAATTGTATCCAGCTTGTATATTCTACCAGTTCTTCTAAACAAGGGAAAGAACTCCAGTCTGCCAAAAGGTTCACCTTAAACAGCACAGACAGCTGAGGTAGTTGGCAAGAATTGCTGAAACTCACTGATTTATAGGGAGCAAAGTGGATAACTTAAAAGACTTTTAGATACTTTCCTGATAATGTCGACTTAATCACTTGGCTTTTTCTTAATTAAAAAGGTTCACTGATAGTAGCAGCATCGTAACAGGAAACAGGCACTTATTTTCAATTTGAAAGATGTTTCATTTATTTTAAAGGTTCACCCAAAAGTGATATCCTCATCTGGAATTTGGTGGGCTGAGCCACATCCCCAGCCTCTCATATCTCACAAGGGCCCCCCCCCCCCCCCCACAACAACCCCCCCCCATACCACCACCACAACAACCCCCATCCTCATCACCAT